TACAATTAGAAAAAGACTGAACAAGTATGGTTTGTTTGGAAGGGTTGCCAGGAGAAAGCCTCTTCTCTCTAAAAAGAAAATGGCGGCACGGCTTAGGTTTGCAAAGTTGCATCTGAACCAATCACAAGACTTCTGGAACACAGTCCTTTGGACAGACAAGACCAAAGTGGAGATGTTTGGCCATAATGCACAGGGCCACATTTGGCAAAAACCAAACACAGCATATCAGCACAAGCATCTCATACCAACCATAAAGCACGGTGGTGGAGGGGTGATGATTTGGACTGGTTTTGCAGCCACAGGACCTGGGCACCTTGCAGTCATTGAGTCGACCATGAACTCCTCTGTATACCAAAGTATTCTAGCTATCTGTCCAACAGCCAAGCTTGGCCAACATTGGGTCATGCAACAGGACAGTGATCCCAAGCACACCAGCAAATCTACAACAGAATAGCTGAAAAAGAAAAGAATCAAAGTGTTGCAATGGCCCAGGCAAAGTCCAGACCTCAATCCGATTGAAATGCTGTGGTGGGACCTCAAGAGAGCTGTGCATAAACAAATGCCCACAAACCTCAATAAACTGAAGCAATGTGGTAAAGATGAGTGGGCCAGAATTCCTCCACAACGATGGGAGAGACTGATAAAATCATACAGAAAACGATTTCTTCAAGTTATTGCTGCTAAAGGTGGTTCACCAAGCTATTGAATTATAAGGCGTACCTAGTTTTTCACGCATGGCTTCTCCATTTTTGGCTTTCTTTTTGTAAAAGAAATGATGACATGGTATAATATGTCATGTGTTGTTGTTCATTGTATTTACCTACCTACTTTTGAGAACTGCTAAGGACCAGATAATTTTTATTATGTCCTGAAATGTAAAACCATAGAACTCAAAGAGAGTATACTTTCTTTTTCACATGACTGTAGGTGAAAATCACCCTTGTGGTGATTTATTGTACTATATGATCTTTGGAAGGACAAATAAAATAGGAATTAATACTTTATTTTTAACAATTGAAAGATCTCAGATTTCTGTTTGGAGTTGAAAATGATTTCTAGGTGGAATGGCATGTCATGTTTTTCTGATTAGCCTATGTTTAAATAAAAGGTTCTGGGTGTGGTATGTAAGAAGAGGACTTTGCACTTGGGATCAATCTAATTGATCAGAAATATTGTCCAATTGTCTCATGATTCAGTATTACAGTTAACATGCTTTTAGACTGTGCTTCAACATGCTAGTGTGTTAATATACTTTTAGCATTGTCCTTTACTTATTACAGCAGTATACTGGCTTTCAGATGCACTTCTTTTGAATTTGTAGAGGATATCCTGCATGAGGAAGTGACAAATATTTGATAAGTCAAGTTCTTTGTGGACAGGGATATCTTGAAATTAGTACAAAGAGATATCAAACTGTTTTAAAATGGCTTCAAAGTTCTGCTTTAATTCTTAAGAGAGTTTTCATTGTTCAATCAGCACACTGGCATTTACTCATTTTATTTGCTTAAAGCCACTTACATTATACTGGTCTAAGACTGTAATAAACTGTACTAGTGCTAAAGCCACTTACATTATAAATGTTTTAAAAGCTATCAAATTGTGAAACAGAGCAGAATTTGTATAGTTTGTCTTAGCTATTTCAACCTGGCCCTTTAACCTTTTGGACAAAAGATACTAGTACATTTTAACTAGTTAGCTTTCATCAGTAATCTCAATAGCTTTCTTTCCACATCATATTACGGCATAACTTTGAAGCTCTTTGTTTTCAAAAGCAGTTTTCAGCGTAGCATGGAGTCACTGCTTTCAGTAAGCTGCTAGAGAACTGAAAGCTCTGTACAGTATGTCCCTAAGTACTTTATTTTCTAAATGCATTGCCTAGATTGCAGCAGTTATTGATAGTTAATGAACTTGATACTGTTGGTGCTCTCTATATAAACATATTGTGTTTTTAATTAAAATGCAGGTATACAGGAAATATAATAAAGGATGTAATTAATATGGGATCCTACAACTATCTTGGATTTGCAGAAAACACTGATGCTTGCAAAAAGGCAGTGGCTGAGGTTCTCTCACAATATGGATGTGGGGTTTGCAGTACTAGGCAAGAGATGGGTAAGTTCAGACAAGGAGCTTCTTCACCCAGACTTCACAAAATGTATTGCTGTGTGTTCTTTCTTAATTCAGCTTCTAATAATTCCAATATTTTCTGTTCTTACCATAAAAGAAACCATTTGCATATACAGTGGTATTTTACCTAATGTGAACTTAGTTTTTATCATATATACAGGAAACCTGGATAAACATGAGGAACTAGAAAGTTTAGTAGCCAGATTCCTTGGCGTGGAATCTGTTTTGGCATATGGAATGGGATTTGCCACAAACTCAATGAATATTCCTGCTTTGGTTGGCAAGGTATGGCTTCAGGAGAAGGGACTATCCTGATCCTGTCTTTGCAAGTCTCTAGTAATAACGTCTCATAGTATAAGTTGCTTAAAGCCTTATTAACTGATATATAGATCACAATAATAAATGAATGAATATTTAAAAATATGTTTGGTGAGAGAGAGGAATGAAAGCTCCAGTATTTAATGCAGTTGTATTTTACAGTTTCTTACAGGAAAAAACAAATTACTATGGGAGAACTTATGCCACCATGATTTTAAAGAGGAAGCTTTTTGATATTTCAGACTGCAATGAGATAGGAAGATATCAGTGAATTTTAAATAATTTAAAAAATTATTCATCTTGACTTAAATAAATGATTGTTACCTAATATTTGTTGTTAATCAGATAAACATTCTGTAAAATAAAGTATCTGAAGACAGTTTTAAAGTCCAGACCACCAAGCTTTCAGAAAGTAGTTGTATCTTTCTGAATTATTTATTTTGCGTTGTCTCCTTATGTTCAGGGTTGTCTAATATTGAGTGATGAGTTGAATCATGCATCTCTGGTCCTAGGGGCAAGACTTTCAGGAGCAACAATTCGAATCTTTAAACACAATAGTGAGTATTTGGCAGCAGATTGAGTTATTATTCAAATGTATGCTCTGTCACTCTTAAAGGATTGGAAGTTTTATTTATTTTACAATGTTTATAACCTGCCCCAATCTTAATTGAATCTGAGCTGTATATTGCAAAATGAAAAGCAGCAATAAATCAGTAAATAATTAAAATAAAATCATCCAAAACCTAAGCATCATAGTTGTCCATAAAACGAAACTAATTTTAATTTAATTTTTTTTTACTTTGATGTAATTTTGAGGGCTGACTGCATGCTGAAATAGAGCTGCTTTGGCTTCTTTACAAAATGCTAGCAGAATCAGTGCCTTCCCTACCTTTTTGGGGAGGATATAGTATAAAATGGGGGGCACCACAGAGAAATCTTATCAACTGCTCTCTGTCTTGTGTGTCTTACAAGGAGTGGGCACCTGCAGCAGGTTTCTCTTGATGGCCAGACCAGGCATAATCAATTCTAGAAGAGCATTATTTGATATATTGCAGCACTGCACTATAAAGGTTTTAAAGGTAATGATTAGCACTTTGAATCAGGCCCAGAAGTGTACTGGTAACTGATGCAGCAGCTTCAAAATAGGGGTTACCCTGAAAGGGTTGACCCCTCAATAGCTGCTGAATTTTATATTGAGTGACCTCCAAAGGCAATCTCATGTGTGTTACAGTAGTCCAAGTAGTATCAAGGAGAAGAGCTATTATTGCCAGGCCATCTTGGCCCAAGTAATAGCATACTGACCAAAGCTAGGTGCCACAACTTCCATTTGTACTTAAGCTGGAGGTAAGATCAGAATTGTGCAGGCAGTGGTTTTCCCATAACGCTCTATGGAAGTGAAAGCTGGACTTTGAAGAAGCAGGATAAAAATAGTATTGTCCCTTTTGAACTGTAGCATTAGAGAAAACTCTTGAGAATACTATGGATAGCCAAGAAGGAAAAACAAATGGATCATAGTGTGTTCCTGCATTTAAAGTTGCTGCAACAGTCATATCTTGAAAAGTACTTCCCTGAATTCTCCCTAGTGGTATTCTAGGAAGCCACTTGAAATTAGAGATCAATTAAAGAAATTGATGCTGCTGGTGGCGGGATGAAAACAAGTAGGAGAAACAACAGAGCAGAGCTTCTGGAAATCTTTCTAAACTCTTAATAGTTTTGCTGTAGGTTACATGACCAGAAAGGAGGGGTGTTTAGAATGCAGGAATCAGCAACATTCTGAAGTTATGCCTGATGGTTTCTCCCATAGAGTTGTATGGCTGGAGTAATCCAATTTATTTTCAATCTCAATCTTTCTTTGGTCAGCTTCTCACCCTGCCCCAGACCAAAATTGGTCCCATTCTGTTAAGTTTTTGAAGAGTTACAGTGCTGATTGACAGACAGATGGGGCCCAGTAGACTACTTTGTGAATAATGTAACCTAGAGTTTTGGAGTGTGCTTTAAAACTATTACAGTAAAATGAGAATTGCCTGTTCTAAACAAATTGTAAAAATGGTCTGTCTAAATCTTTGCCTTTTCTATTGTTCTTTAGTTACATAACTGTGCACATACACATTAACTATTCTGTTTCAGGTTAAGCAGTCTTATGCAAAATGCAGAAAAGGAATTAAAAAGTATAAATACATTTAGTTTATGCCAAGATCATCCACTCTACTTCTCTTTACTTTCTGTCCTTACAAACCATCCTTGCTTTTGATGCTTGTTAAATAAGAAAAAGCTTGCTCACACACGTAAGAAGTTGAAAACTGCAGCAAAATGTTCAGTGCCTTTGTATGAATGGCAGGATACTCTTCTTTCACAGAAATCCAAAACTTGTCCATGGGCAGATCAGTGAACCTCATCTTGAATGTACAATCAGACTGCAGTTCACAAAGTTCTTCCTCTTCCTTCAAAATGAAG